AAAAAAAAAAAAAAAAATTAAATGTATTTTTTTTTATCTCAGAAAATGAATTCTTTAATTTTTAAAATAAAGAATAGAATATTTACAAAAATGCAGATGATCACACAATTTTGCAACAAGTCATCTATAATGATCAACTAACGCAACATCTTACTAGAGACGACAATAATATTCCAGATAGTTGGAATCAACTTATGGAGAATAAGGTTGTAATAATTAAATAATTTTATTTAAGTGGCAGATCATAGGTAAAAGGTATAAATGTCAGTAAAAATTGGCGGAAAATTACTTTTATTTTCAGGAATGCTAACAGTTTTCAAAAATATGACTATCATGAAAAAGAAAATGCCAATAACTCACATTTACTCAATTGATTTTAATAACTCTGTTACAATTAAAATGGAATAATTTGCTTTATAATATTTGAGATTTATTTAACTAAAAAAAAAAATTTCATTGCAGATAGCTGTATTCAAACTTTATGACTATATTAACTTTCAACAATTTTTATTATTAAATTTTTTATTTTTTATACCTTTTAATTGCGTTTTATCTTTTAATTATTTTAAAATTCATTAACTATAGTTTAAACTTATCTATAATTAGAAAAATTCAGAACCAACCAATTCAGGCTTTATTTCTTACAAAAAATGTCATTTTTTGAATCTTCAAGCATCAAATATTCTAACTCATTATGAGATTTATCATCAAGTTGCAAACAGAAATTTTGAGGATTACTGTTCTAAGATAGAACGTCAAATTCATACAAAGTACAATATCCAAGAACATAATTATAAAGTTGATGATATAGTAAAAATACAAATTGCTAAGATCGATCGTGGATCTGGTAACCATTGCGCACTTCTTTGCAAAGTAGTTTTTGTGTTTTCCAATAATATGTATCATCTTGTATATTGATTTGGAGTTCTCGAAAGAGTATTTCCTGCTAAAGAAGTTTTGCCACTTGGGCTAAAAGAATTTTCTGAATTGAACAATCCCAACCTATATGACTATTAGCATCGTTAAAGCTGTAAGATTACAATCTAATGCCTTTGCTGGCAATAGAGTTTGCAATTGTAGAGGCGACTGTCTTATGGCAAGATGTATTTGTAAAAAAGCAGGTATTTTGTGTAGAAGTGGATGTTATCCAAAAAATTCGAAGTGTAAACACAGAGCTTGAAAAGTTGTGATAGTATTTAAAATATAAAGATAAAAGAATAATTGAGTATATAAAAATGTATAATTAATATATTGGGGTATAACGTATAGTATAAGTTGAGTTAAAAGAAAAAACTATCGTCAAATTCAATAGTTTTCCATTTTATATTAGAGTTGTTGGAGCGGAATTGTTGTTTGTTACTTTTAGAAGTTTTAACCTTTGTAGCATTGAGGTG